AGTATATTAGTTTCTTTCCCGTGAGAATCAACTATTAAACAATCTGTCATAAGCAAATATTAAACTATATGCTTATAAATAGTTAATATCTCGTATGTATAGTATAATTTTATCTTATTATTTATTAGGAGCTAGGAAGTGAAACTTACCAAGAACAACGGTCTTTCGGACACAAAAGCGATAGGTCCGAGAAAGAAACAATAAATATAGACAAATACCGGAAACAAAACGAAGAATATATTATATAAGCATCACAATCAAACACAAAAGCATCCCTCTTTAGGTCGGTTCAAGTTCATATCTCACTCCAAATAAAACTGTTTGCATAAAGAGAAAAACGAAAGAAGGATCAATACCAAAAACAACGGTTTTTCGGACCCAAAATGGCTACGATAGTTTTCATGGTGCACCTGGTGGATCTTTATGTCCGATGCCTTGGCTAGGACCTGGACCGGTGGGTCGGAAGGCAGTTTGTTCGATATTCTTGTATAAGTTAATCTTGAACCTTACAAAGTCTTCTTTTGGGGGTGATGGTGGAGACCATTCGAGAGGAATAGGCGGACCAAACACTTTAACTGATCTTCGCGTAGCATTTGTAGTTACAAAGTGAAAATGTAACACAAGAGAAAAAAGTAGAAACAAAGTTAGATACGAGATAGAACTACCACGGCTCACCATCGTGTTATAACTTAGGAACTTAGAGATAAACACTATAACTTAAAATGTCATCAACACAAGAGAGAAGGATCCAATTTAAGAAGGCTCCATAGGTCGACCCCACAAGTCCTATGTTTTTGTTTTCGTTGTTTGGGTGAACACCGAGATTCGATTAAAAGTAGTTTATGTTCGAACATGGCCTTTTCTGTCGTATTAAACTCAATTTGATGATACTTTGAAATAAGAAAAACAGCATGCGACCCACTAATATCTTCCAAAAATGGCATGACAACACTAAAGATTTCTTCTTTGGGCAACTCATGTGTTATATTGTATGTATAATGAATCTTTAAATGCTTTGTCCACTTAACCTGCCCAATGTTTTTGTTTTTTTTTAAGTAGATCATGCCCAATGTTTTTGTTACGCTCTCTTTATATGTGGGTGTACCTTTCCCTGTATATGTATGTATAAGATTACAACTAGTGAACATTGAATAATGAATAATGAAAACCCACTCAAGTCACCATCGCTTACATTTTTTTTTCATTTAAGGAAACGCCACCCTAAATGGCCTATTCAAGGAATCCTCAAGCTGAGAACAAATTCCAATACCAACAACAATACCACCTTAAATGGCCACTTCGAGGAATCCTTGGATAAGTTGTTATTAACAAATGATGAAAAGTAGAAAATGATTTTATATTGTTAAGTTTCGGGTTCTAACTCAAAACTAACTCAAATCTAATTAGTAATAAACAAATTTGTTCATGTCCTTTATATATTACTTATGTTATATCAATAACATTAGGTTCCATCAATACCATATATTTAAGGGAATTTGTGCATTGTTATATACCAGATGAGTAAGATCATGCTTTGAGAACGTAAAAATGGTACGTTTATACGTTAGGAGATCTCGAGGATAACGAGATCGAGTTGTTTAGGAAAGTTAATATATTTGTTCTCCAAGTAGAATTAGGTTAGAGAATGTCTACATACTTTGTATAAATATGTAAACTATTCATATGAATAAACTAACAGAAACTATTATATTTCTAAAGTTTCCTCCAAAATCTATCATTATACCTATCAATTTTCGATTTTGGATAAAGATGAGTATTGTATGCTATATATCGAGCTTGGAAACATAATGTTAGATTGAGATTATAAATGATATATAGCATTGTATACACAAGAATACATAAGTTGCATCATTGTAGCCGTTGCGTCTGCTTCGTCGGGATGAACTCCCACTAGAGTTTGTCTTTCTCCTCTCTGTAACCTCCGTTTGCTACCGTTGTCGTCGGCGAGACACCTCTGCGCATGGCATGGCTTGGTAATCTGCGTAATTCTTTGTCACTCTCCATGGATATCGACGAGATTTTCGTCGAATGTTTCAACTGCCGGCGACGTCTCCTCCAGATCTGCAACGACTGCTCCTTCACCATCAAATCCTAAGCTTTCTGTCGGAGCCACCGAATCCTCCAGATCCGCCGGACACACCGTTTCTATTTGGATCATATCTCAGAACATTATGTTTCAATGGCGACCAATCCGACGACCAGCCGAGCAGTTTCAAGAGCATTAACGAGGTCTTCAAAATACTAAAGCCTTCGAACATTATGTTTTTGAAGGCTTTCAGGCTTGGATCATATCTCAGAACGTCAACAAATTTATCTGTTTTTGAGTTAAAGTTTTATAGATTTTCAAATCCTACAATTTTCTCCTTTTGGGAGAGGCCTCTTTATTACTCTCTCCCATTCGAGAAGAGAACCACTCTATCATTTATTCTCTCATTGAGAGTAAGACTCTTTTTGGAACCAAAACCGATAAATTTCCTAACCGATGTGTATTTTTGTGTAGCAGTCCGTACGGGACCAGAAGATGCAACTTGTTTCGTCTTGATGAAATTCGAAGGTATGGGTAATCTTTCAATGTTATTGCTCAAAATGACTAAATCTATGATTTCCAGCGTAGCTATAAATTTTGCATCGTCGCATCGAGATTGTTTCTTCGATTCGCAGTCGTATATCTATGTTGTTCTTTCTGATTTAGTTATTAATGAACTCATGTATTGTAGTATGAAGCTATGTATTTCTGAATTTTAAGTAATAAAACAAATGTTGCACCAAAAAAAGTGATAATCTTTGTCATATATGCTCTTGTTAGGGATAAAATCTAGCTATTAGATATTTGCCAATCAAAATCCAATATGTAGATTTCAAATCCGCATAGAGTTTTTCCAAAGCGACCTTCCGCATCAGTTTATCATAAAAGATATAAATTGTGCAAAAAAAACTAGTGTATCTGGTTGTTCCACATGAGGAAAACATGTGATGAGACATGTCATACACACCTTCTCAGAAAGCATCATTGTGCCATTCTAACCACTATGTCTGGTCAAATGTTGTATATAGGCCAGCCACGCCAAATATTTTTTTTTCTTTTTTAAAT